CCACGTGCCTTGCGGTCATTTAGGTGGGTTCTCCAGCCTATTAGAAAGGTGTCTGTTGTTCGAATCAGTGTTGATGGGGGTTGCGTGAAAGGGATGCCTGCATGGATGCTGGATGGTTCTTTCCATCAGTCCAGGAAGTGTCTGACCCTGGAGGGCATTGGCAGTGGCTTGTTTAGCCCGTACTTGTTCAAAGAATAAACAAATATGAGCCATATCTAAACATCTAATGTAAAATCAGGCATGTGGGGTCACAAATGTATATGCCGTCATGTGCCTGAGAAGCTGGAGGCAATTCCTGGCCAGTATTTGTGGGCTGGCCTGACCTGCCTATGAGACTTGTCAGGGTGTTGAATCTGTAGCTGGAGGAATGCTCTCACTTGCAGTGCGTTGAGTTTGGCCCCAATAAACTCCAGATGTTGTATGGGACTCAAGGTTGATTTCTGGGTATTGAGCTGTAGACTCAGTTGCGCAAATATATGCTGTGAACAGTTGCCGCTTCAGTGGAGGCTTATGGAAAGGGTCCTCTGTAGGCGTAAGGGGGAAAACCCTGAACTGACACTTCAGACACCAAGGCAAGGTCTTCATCAGAATCCCTTTCCTGAAGCTCACTAAGGAATGGTGGAGCACCTGGAGAGATTTGAAGTGAAACCTTCTGTACTGAGCAAAGTTCAGGCATTCTCGGTACTGATCACACATCAGAGCCAAGAAGTGGAGAATCAGGAGTCCCAGATACAGCCAGGTCCTGGGGAAGTCAGAACCTGCAGTACTGCAAGAGTTATTGGTACCAACCCTGCGGTCTGTGCTGAGGTGATTGTTGTCGAGGACGCTCACGGTACCATAGGTTACAGGTGCTCCAAGGGCAGCGCAGTCGTTGACGGTACATAAGGTCTCATGAGCTCTGAGGGAAGCGCAGTTGGAGCCTGAGTGGGCTTTTGTGATACAGAGGAAGAAGAACAACTCTTCTTGCCACCTTGGTCCAATAACTGTACCAATGGTCTCTCTGGCCCTGTGGCCATCTTGCAGCCTAGCCATGCCCTGGGTAGCCCAGGAATCAGCAGCCTGAAGGACACCTGATTGAAGAGCTGGTGCTGCCAGGGTGGCTGAAGATACCGATGACTTCAGCTTTTTAGAAGTACATTCTCTACCTGGTGAGCCAGGGGAATGTTCCTTTGAGGGCTTATGAGAGGACTCCTGCATCTTTTTCTTGGAGGCCCTGGAGGTGTGGGGCTCCAATGTTGTAGAGGCAGCCGACTTGCTTGGAGACCGACATACGGGGAAGTCTCTTGGCCCGGTTTAGAAGCTGGGTGTAGAGAGCTCTCCAACATGAGGAGACAAAGCTTTATTTGTGTTTTTTCTGGCTCTTGATTTCAGTGACAGACAAAAGTTGCACTTCTGTAATTTTCTGAGGCAACGGAGCAGTGGGATTGCCCATCGCTGACCAGGATCACCTCCCAACATGCCAGATGTTTGAAGCCAGGGGAACCAGACATAACCTCCCAGTAAGAACTAATAACTAACCAGTACCTATCCAAATACAATAAAAATTATTTTCTCTTGTAAAGAAAAGAAGCTACATTAGTACTATTTACTAACTATGGAACTAAAACTAACACTATGACCATACCTCTACCTCGATATAACGCTGTCCTCGGAAGCCAAAAAAATCTTATCGCGTCATAGGTGAAACCGCGTTATATCAAACTTGCTTTGATCCACCGGAGTGCTGCTTTACAGCATTATATCCGAATTCGTGTTATATCGGGTCGCATTATATAGCGGTAGAGGTGTAATTGTTAATAAGAAGAGAGAATACAGTTGAGGAAATCTGAATGGGATAACTGCCAGAGCTCCTCCCCAGGCTGAGACAGTTAAGAAGGAACTGAGTGTGATTTGCCCACGCAGTGCTGTGCAACAGCATGGGGCACAAGACTGACTAACACTCATGTGAGGGCTGAATGGAAACTGCTATGAGAAATCTCTGATCAAAGGCACAGGAGGAGCACCTCTAGGGATACTACTTGGAGAGAAAGTTTGGCTTAAGTGACATTTCAAGCATCACATTCTGTGGCAGAGGTAGGTGAAGAAACAATTCTCCAACGCAGCATTCAGCTGCCTTAACCATGAGACCATTCTCTCTCTTCCTGCAATTCTACCCCTCATTCACTACTCAACTTATGCAACAAGTGAGGCAGGGGTCCTACTGACAACAGCCTCATTCACTACACAACCCTAACTCACCTTCAAAGCATGATTCATCCTGTGCGTGGAATGAGGCAGGCAGGGGTTCTGTAGAAGTAGTATGTGATCATGTAATTAAAGACTGTATCATAATGTATACATACATGGTCGCCAAATTAAGGTTGCACAGGCAGCCTTAATAGGCATTTCCTAACTTTTGAATGCTTGACTTCTAACCCGTCTAATATAGGTTTTCAGATGCAATTCCCTAGATTTTGAGGGAACGGGGGGGAAGCAAACTGGAAAAAACAAATTCCATCATGTGGAACCATACTGACCTGTACACAGGTCATCAGTAGGATTGAAATCTTTAGATCTACAGCACAGGTGTCTATCACTTCAGCTACAGAATAACTGGTAGCAGTAGTAAGCTGTTATCCTTTATTTTGACAAAGCACAAGGGGGTAATCCGACACCAGGGCCGGCTCTGGCTTTTTTGCCGCCCAAGGCAAAAAACCCTCCCGCCGCCCCCCCCCCCCCCCC